TCATATGGACCCACAAAAGACTCTGAATAGCCAAAACAATCTTGAGAAAGAACAAAGCAGCATCCATCACACTTTCTGATTTCAAGTTATACCGAAAAGCTATAGTAATCAAAACAGTGTGGTACTGGTATTAAAACAGGCACACAGACCAACAGAACAGAGTAGAGAGTCCAGAAATAAACCCATACATTTACATTTAATTGATTTTCAACAAAAGTGAGACAAACACACAATGGGATAAAAGTCTCTGCCATAAATAGTATTGGAAAAACTGGATATCCAGATGCAGAAGAATGGAACTGAACCCTTACCTTACACCATATACAAAAATCAACTCAACCATGGATTAAAGACTTAAACCAAGTAGGAACCGAAACCATAAAACTCTTAGAAAAAAATGTAGGGAACAAACTCCTTGACATTGGTCTTGCAAATGACTTCTTTTAATATGACACCAAAAGCACAGTCAACAAAAGCAAAAATAAATATCCGAGAACTACATCAAACTAAAAAGCTTCTGCACAGTAAAGGAAATAATCAACAGAGTGAAAAAGCAACCTATAGCACAGGAGGAAATGTTGGCAAACTATGTAACTGATAAGTAGTTAACATCCAAAATATTTAAGGAATTCACAGAACTCAGTAACAAAAAAACAACACAATTTAAAGATGGGCAAAGAACCAAAATAGACATTTTTCTAAAGAAGACACACAGATGGCCAATAGGTACATAAAAAGGTGCTCAACATCACTAATCATCAGGAAAATGCAAATCAAAACTACAACGATATATTATCAATTCACACTTGTTAGGACAGCTGTCATCAAAAATTCAAAAGATAACAAGTGTTGGCGAGGGTGCAGATAAAAGGCAATCCTTGTACACTCTTGGTGGAAATGAAACTTGGTAGAGCCATTATGAAAAACAGTATGGAAGTTCCTCAAAAAAATAAAAAACAGAACTACTATATAATCTAACAATCCCACTTCTGGAGATACATCCAAAGGAAATGAAATTAGTATCTCAAAGAGATATCTCCATTTCCAGATTCATTGCAGTATTACTCACAATAGCCAAGAGGGCCAGGCACGGTGGCTCACACCTGTAATCCTAGCACTTTGGGAGGCTGAAGCAGGTGGATCACATGAGGTCAGGAGTTCGAGATCAGCCTGGCCAACATGGTGAAACCCCATCTCTACTAAAATACAAAATTAGCCAGGCATAGTGGCACATGCATATAATCCCAGCTACTCGAGAGGCTGAGGCAGAAGAATCACTTGATCCCAGGAGGCGGAGGTTTCAGTGAGCCGAGACCACACCATTGCACTCACATTGTCTTGTTGCCATTGCCTGGGCAACAAGAGCAAAACTTCGCCCAAAAAAAAAAAAATTCCAAGATATGTAAACAATGTAAGTGACAGATAAATGGACTAAAAAATGTATCATAAAGAGATAACGGAATACTATTCAGACATTAAAAAGAAGTAAATTCTGCCATTTGTGACAACATGGATGAACCTAGAGGATGTTATGCTAAGTGAAATAAGTCAGACACAGAAAGAAAAATACTATATGTGCTTACTTATATGTGGGATCTTTACAAATCAAACTCATAGAAGCACAGAGTAGAAGAGTGGTTACCAGGGGTGAAGAGGCGGGAGAAATAAGGTGATATCAGTCAAAGGGTACGAAGTTTCAGTTATGTAGAATGAGTAAATTCTAGAGATCTAATGTAGAGCACGAGGACTATAGTTAATAATACTGTGTTATACAGATGAAAATCGTTTAGAAGGTAGATCTTAAGTGTTCTCATACAAGAAAAAGATGGTAATTATGTGAAGAGATGGATATATTAATTAGCCTGACTGAAATCAGGTCACTATGTATATGCACATTAAAATATCAGGTTGTACACCCTAAATATATATAAATTAAAAAAAAAAAAAAAACACTTTTTTTGAAACAGGTTCTCACTTTGTCACCCAGGCTGGAGGGCAGTGACAGGATCTCACCTCACTGCAAACTCTGCCTCCCAGGTTCCAGCGATTCTCCTGCCTCAGCCTCCCAAGTAGCTGGGATTACAGGCATGTGCCACCACACCTGGCTAATTTTTGCATCTTTTTAGTAGAGACGGGGTTTCACCTGTTGGCCAGGCTGGTCTCAAACTCCCGACCTCAAGTGATCCGTCCGCCTCTGACTCCCAAATTGCTGGGATTACAGGTGTGAGCCACCGCATCCAGCCCTAATTAAAATTTAAGATAACAATAGAAATACAATATTCAACTGCAGTCGGAACTGTAGCAAGGAAGAGATTGTCAAGAGAGTGTTCCAGACGCAAACAGAGTCCAAAAGAAAATATTCCTCATACCTTTGGCCATCCTGAGCAAGTTGAAGGAGACCTAAAAGTTTAAAACTTTAGTTACATGGATATTGGGGGCCTGCCACCTCCTTTTATGAATTACTGACTTAAGTTATATACTATTTTAGATCATTAAACTTTTACAGTAGATCTGTGTAACAAGAATGGTTGAAAGACATGATGTGTAATAGGAAAACAATTCTGGGTGTATCAGAGCAATAGGCATTCTAAGTATTCCACACACAAGCATGTTAGATAAATTCATATATTTGTAAAATCCTTAATCAAGGGTTTTCGTGGTAGTGATAGACAAGACAGCACAAAGTTACATAAATACATCAGAACTATATGTTTTATGTACAATATATATTGAGTACTGAAGGAACCTCAGATATCATCTAGTTCAACTTTTTTCCCATGGATAAAGACATAAGACTCAAAAAAGGTGAAATGGTTTGGTTTTTTCTGTTCAAAAATAAATTAATGGTTAACTCTGGATCAGTGCAACTATGAATAATTTTCTTTTTCCTTTTTTCTAGAATTATTCTATTATTTTCATAATGAGAACAGTAAGTTATTTTAGAAAAAAAAATCCTTATCTTCTGTTAAAATTTATGCATTTACCTGAACCTGTTTGCCAGGTTGTGTTCAGTTCTCAGTTTCTAAAGCCTTCATCTCACCGAGTACAATAGTGTACGCCTGTAATCCCAGCACTTTGGGAGGCTGAGGTGAGGGAATCGCTTGAGCCCAGGAGTTCAAGACCAGCCTAGGCAACATAGCAAGACCTCGTTTCTACTAAAAATTTAAAAATTAGCCAGGCATGATGGTGCAAACCTATAGTCAGTCCCACTCAGGAGGCTGAGGTGGGAAGATTGTTTAAGCCCAGGAGTTCAAGGTTGCAATGAGCTATGATCATGCCATTGCACTCCAGCCTGAGCAACATGGCAAGGTCCAGTCTCAAAAAAAAAGATTAAAAATGTTAAAAGTCCTCATATCACCTCAATCCCTCAACTGAGATGTCTTAACTACTAAGTAAGTACAAGCTCAATGTCTCCTCAGAGTCTAAAGCCAATTGTAGGAGCTTTAGCAAAGAAACTTATCCTTACTAATCTTACTAATTGTCCATATCCTAATTCTGGTGAATGAAATATATATTGATAACGTGTCTAATAACACAGTATCTATAAGAATAGGAGTGTACTTTGCTCTTGAAAACTCCATGTCCCAAGAAAGTCTAGACTAGGCTGCCAGAAACAACATAGGATGGCCAGTTAAACCTGAATTTCAAATAAGTAACAAATTTTTGGTATAAGTATGTCCTAAATATTGGCTGTGACACATACTAAAAAATTCCTGATTACCTGAAATTCAGATTTAACTGGGCATCCCTTATTTTTATTTGCTAAATCTGGCAACTCTACCTGGACTCTAAACCTGAGGATTAGACCTTTAACCGGTTCAAAAAACCTTCAGCAGATTACCAACTGCCTGCATGGATTTTTAAATGTTCTCTACTCCTGGATTTCCTGTTGTATCTCAATAGTCTGACAGATCACGTATTAATTCAAATCGTAATATCCAATACTGGCTGCCTGTCCAGATTACAATCTGTTACCTTAATTCTCTGTCTAGTGCTTGTCAGAATGGATTTTCTTCTAGCACCTGCAGTTGGAACAATGTCTCTAAGAACCATCCCAAACCATGAACAGGCCTAGTTTTAAGGCCTTGTTATGAAGAAACTTATGGACTGGTCCTGGGGAAACTAGCATGAATAATAAAATCAAAACTAATTTTTAAATAAAGACATTATTTCAATGTATTTATTAACAACTATATAAAAAGCTTCCCCTTTTAAAAAAATACGGTATCTTTATATAATAAAAATGAGAATAGTATTAACTTCATAAGGTTGTTGTAAGGATTATTGAAATAACATATCAAAGCCCTTAACAGTGACTGATTTGGTGTTGTTTTCCCAGCACTTTATTTCCAAAATTATTTCCTTCAATATTGCCATTTATCCAAGACTACTAAAATACAACCAAGAAAAATCTATGTTCTTTTTCTATCAATTTTTTCATACTATTTAAACAATAAACTTTGGTCCTTATGGCAAGAACCCTCAGCATCTTTCTGACTATCTTCTTCATTTCTTGAGCCCCTACTATTGCAGATGCATATGCATCTCAGCCTCCATTTTTCCTTCTCCTTCCATTCTGTTTACCTTGAAGCTGACTGCCTTACAGGATAAGACTGAGCACTCTAATTGGTTCTCAATTCCTAAATATAACCAATACTAAGATATGATTCCTGTCTATCTATTGTCAATGAAATCATTAATAACCCATAAGCAAAATCATAAATTCATAGCAATGAATATTATCAGAAATTTCATTATCACATTGAGAATCTTTTGAAGCATAATCACTGTGAAATTTTCATATTTTTTAAGTTTTACATGCATGTTCTAAGTTCTTTCATAAAACATAACTAATACTGCCATAGTTATTATTTATAGAAATTTCCTAAATGTAATTCTGTCTGAGAAACAAAGAAGAAGTGAAGGAGGAGGGAAGGATGAAGACGACGACAGGAAAATGAGAAGGAATAGAAGAAGAATAAAATTTTAAGTAGACTCACCTCCAACCACCCTGGCTTCTTTCAGTATTTGATTGAATAGAGTTAAAGATAGAATCTTGACTTCTCAGAGGACGAGAAACTGAATGTGGTATTTGCCTTTCAAGGGAATATGTCTTGTTAAATATTAATAGTTTGCTTTCAAATTGAGGAATTAAGATATACATAGAAGAATAACATCAGTTAGTAAGAGACACACATCCAATGGTTTGTATTTCTCCACATACCCAGTGTCCACTGTTTTCATTACAGGAGCCAACTCTGCATTCATAGCTTCCCAGGCCCAATCTCAAAAGATATAAGTAACATAGATAAAAGTAAGATAGGTAGTATTTTTCAAAATGATAACTTCACACTTATTTAATTTTGGGGGTTTAAAAACTTGAAGAAGAAAACAACTTGAATATATGGACTTCTTTGACAATACTTTGTTGGAAAACCTGTCACAGCCTGCTTTATTAATTTTTATAGATGTCTGTCTCATTCATTGTATTTTAAGCAAAGATAATTTAATCTGTATCTTTTCTACAATCAGTTCTAGTATAGTATCTTTAACTTTGTAACATGAATTTCATCTAATCCAATGTTTATTGAACTTTTTAAATCCCACCCACAGAAAGAAATACATTGTAACTCAGAACATGTATATGCATGGCATATGTGTGAGATACAGACAAACAGAGAGATAGAGAAAGGAGGAAAAAGAATATAAAACTTCACCATCAAATCTTATCCTTAATATGTGTGATACACTCTGACACAGTCATGTGTCACTTAATGACAGGGATACATTCTAAGAAATGTGTTGTGAGGTGATTTTGTTGTGCAAACATCATAGAGTGTACTTACACAAAGCTGGAGAGTACAGCTTGCTACACACCTAGGCTACATGTTACAGCCTATTGCTCCTAGGCTACAAACTTGTGCAACATGTTACTGTACTCAATGCCATAGGCAATTGTAACATAATAGTATTTATGTATCTAAACATATCTAAACATAGAAAAGGTACAGTAAAAATATAAAAGATAAAAACCAATACACCTAAGAGGGCACTTACCATAAATGGAGCTTGCAGGACTGAAAGTTGCTCTGGGTGAGTTAGTGATTAAGTGGTGAGTGAATATGAAGGACATTACTGTACACTACTGTAGACTAAACAAACCATACATTTAGGCTACTATATATATATTATATTGTAGCCTACCATAGCCAATTTTATAAATTATATTTATAAAAAAATAAACTGCGCTATGACATTATGACAGCTACTACGTTATGTCACTAGGAAACAGAAATGTTTCAGCTCCATTATATTTGTAGTGGCACCACCATCACACAGGTGGTGTGACTGACCAAAACATTGTTATGCAGTGCATGGCTGTTATTTTCTATTCTACTCTACTCTATTGTCTTCTTTCTTTTTTCAAAGATCGATTATATCCCAGAGCGAATAATGAATCAAGACAAAAGTTTTTAAAAAAACACTGATGAGGCCCTATCTCTTACACAATATAGGAAAATTACTATTTCTGACAAATGGTAACCCTGGTCAGAGCTTGAAGTACTTCAGGAGGACACACATTTGCTTATGGAATAGCTCAGGTTTTCAAGGTCAACATTCATGCTACTTATAAAAATATTATAAATTATGAAATATTTTTTAAATGGTGGAGTATGACCAGATAAATGCGCAGTTGTGCATATCCATGTGAATTTATCATTTTTATACACAAAAATTGGAAACATATGAACTTCATACCTAAAATTCTTCAAATATATTTTTTATATATTTTGTTTTCTTTAAACAAAATAATTACAGATTTAGAAGTATATTAAAGTCTACGGGAGCACACTGGATTAAATTAACAATACAAGTATTGCCATGTAAGAGATATTTTTAAATTCTAGCTATATAAGATCCTATTAATGATTTTTAAAATGTGCCCCCAAAATGTAAATGTATATAACCAGCATGTACCACATATATTTCAGAATGTCTGCCTGCCCATTCCTCTTGCAGAGGAAAGTAAAAAGTCAACAACAACCATTAAGACCTCCCAGCACCCACCAAACCTCAGCTAACTGGTTCAGAGATAAATTACAATTTTCTATAATCCGAGTTTATATTTCCTGAAAAATTTTACCTTATTAATTTTCTTACCTGTAGGTAGAGGAGGAAAATCATAATTGTCAGAAGGGGTACTGATACCTGGATCATCTTTAAGTGGATTAGAAGTTAATGGCTGTCTGTTCCTCTTTTTCTGATTGAACAATGGAACAGGCAAACAGCCTAAATTGAATGTACCAATAAATTAGTACATAATAGACAAATAAGCAGATCTAGTTGTAAAATAATTACTAGTATATAATACACACTTTAAATGTATCTACTTCTATATGCTAATATACTTATAGATTTCTATAACCTTGGATTGACTTTTCCATTCTTTTTAAGATCCTGAATAGCCTAATTTGTTTCTTCAAAAACTTTTTCTTATTCTACCCTAACAGTTTTAATTCCTCTCATATGGAAGTAATTCCCATCTCCTCCCTCATCCCCCAATCTTTCCAAATCCACTTTTTTTTTCCTTATCCCCCTCCTGTGCTTGCCTGTTACCGTAACAACTGCAGGGGACCTTTAGAGTACAACAGAGGTGAGGAAGAACCAAACTCTGAACCATGCTTTGGACAATAGTAGCACGCCCTTTTGGGCCTTGGTTCTCAAAGTTTCATTGGACTAAGATTTATCTGGAATTCTGCTTAATGTGCACGTTCCTAGACTCCACTCTCATAGACTTTATTTCAATAGATCTAGCCTGGAACTCAAAACTCTGCACTTTTAACAAGCACCCCAGGTGTCTGTAATTATATATTTTGTCAATCATTTTGAGAATGCCTTCGAGAGTAATAATATCCAGTCCAAATGAGAATAAATACTACTACTAATTCCTCCAGATGGTGGATCTAGGATCTCAATTCAGGCCAAAAGTCACAAAACATAAACTTTAAAACTTAGGGAACTCGAAGGGAAAGGAAGTTCAGATAGCTTGTGCGTTGCTATAGGGCAAGTCAGTGGAAGAATCCCAATAGGACCCAAGATTCCTAAATATCAGTTCAGATCTCTTGCCACTGTACCATTCTCTAAACTGGTCATCATTAATTGTTCTACAGGCAAACACAGACTCTGTGAAAACTCTCTGATTAAAGGCTGGGAGAATTATGTGGACTCTGGAATCAGACCACCAGGGTCTGAATTATGACTTCGAAGTAGGTTTGCATTACAACTTCAGAGTATGATCTTGAGCAATTTCCCTAAACTCCTTGTGCCAATATGACATACACTGATAGCATAATGATTAAGAGCAGGGACTAAGGGCCAGATTCCTAGGTTCAAATTCTGATTCTGCTACTTCATGGATTACTTATTTAACCTCTTTTAGCCTTGGTTTTCTCATCTGAAGAACAGAAATGATTATAATAACCTATCTCAGAGTACTGGTGTAAAGATTAAATAAATTAATATATATAATCAATGTCTTGAATACAGTTAATCCACCATAAATAATAGTTACTATTATCTTCATTATGCATCATCATTCCCCTTGTTCTCATCATCCTTGCCCTCTGTCTTTATACTAATAAATCGGGAAAGCAAAAATGATAGGAGAAGCTATTAGAAAGACAGAAGTGCTTCTGGAAATATTTTTTAACAAGTCTGTCACAAATACAAACAAAAATAGATCTATTTCTTTGTTTTCAGTTGTAAAGCATAGAATAACTCAAGCACATCAAATTTGTAGAAAGAATATCAAAATAAATCTAAGAAAGTTTGATCTTACTCCCACCTCTACCATTAAACGTTTTGTCTTGAGTAAGTTATTTTACTTCCTTGGACCTGAAAAGAGGCTAGATTAACTGTTCAATCTATTTTAAATTTATTTCCAATGTTATATCTATAAACTATACAAGCTTTATATGCTATATAGAAAATATAGAAAATTTAAAAATAAAAAGTTGTTCAATACCTGCTGTACTTCGAGCTGAATTTTCATTTAGGCTTCGCTTCATTTCCTTCAATATCAAAATCTACAATTTTCTCTTCAGCATTCCAAATTTATGACACTGTGCCACCAGACCTACAAAGAAAGAAACTTATAACTCATATTGTCTCAACTACAAAACCAAATCCTCAGCCCAGTGATTACTGAAATTATGGTTTTAAACTACTTTCAAACCTGATCATGTAAACACTTTAGGGAGACCTTTGCTTTCTAAGAGTTTACAACATAATCCGCTTTTCCAACTCTGTTCCAATTAAGTTATGACTAGGGCAACTGTAACCTTGCTTCCTAAACATACGGCATTTTTTCACACAGTGTATGTAATTTATTTCAGAATCCAGCGCCCACAAAGAGAATTCTGACCCAGATCTATAAAGACAATGGACCACAGCATTGGCAAACATACATGCTTCCAACGCCAGGGAGGAAACAGTATTTAGCCACTGGGAACTTCCTCCATGCCCTACTTTAAGGCATTGTGCAGGTCATCTGCCTTTGCATCAGTCTGAAACTCCTGGATTATATAATACCAAAGACTAAGTCTTCCTGAGGTCAGGAGTTCAAGACCAGCCTGGCCAACATGGAGAAAGCCCATCTCTACCAAAAATACAAAATTAGCCGGGAGAGGCGGCGGGTGCCTGTAATCCCAGCTACTCAGGAGGCTGAGACAGGAGAATCGCTTGAGCCCAAGAGGCTGAAGTTGCAGAGAGCCAAGACTATACCACTGCACTCCAGCCTGGGCAACGAGAGCCAGACTCCATTTCGAAAAAAGAAAAAAAGACAGACTAAATCCTCCCTTCATATCCAGAATAAGTGTAATGACAAGTGTCCACTCCATTTCCACAACTTCAACAACTGAAACAAGTGTGCCCTTAGTTTTCTTCTTTTACAATAGAATTTCTCCTGTAATTTTGCATGTTTAGCCCCCTAACACATTTCAACCCCAATCTAATTCAACAAACACTTGCCCACTGCATGAAGAGGTAACT